AGGGGTGGGGGTAGGGGTAGGGGGCGCAGACGAGAGTTTTGGAAACCTGTTTGTAGAGTTCCTCCTGTCCGAGGCTGAAAGTGGGAAACAGAAGGAGGAGGGAGAAGCGGTGGTTGAGGGTGCGGAGGTGTTGCCGAAGCGGTTGTTGTCGCCTACGATGGGTGGGGAGATGGGATCGCCGAGTAAAGGGATGGGGTTGAACGGGGATGATGCGGCGGCTGCCAAGGGTGGGGGTGGACTGGGGTCGTACTTTGGTCTGTCGAGAGGCGGGAAAAAGTGACAGGTCAAAGAGCTTCGATGCAGCAACACATTCTCGTTCGAAGCAATACCAACATCGCAGAAGAGAAACAACGCACACACAACGAAACACACACCGATGGACCGTGGCTTGTTGAGCGTGAAAGAAACACAGTTGCAGATTGCGAATGGACGTTTGACGCAAAAGAAAACGGATGACAAGCGCATTGTTACTTGGTGGACTTCTTGCTCTTCTTGTCCTTCTTGTCGTCCGCGTCTTCCACGCCGTCTCTCTTTCTCTTGTCCTTCTTCTTCTTGTCTCCATCCTCCGTCGGTGGAACGAAAGCTTTCTGCCTCTCGACCTCTCTCTTCTCCTTGTGCTCTGCCTGTTTTGCCAGCTTCTCCTGTTCGGCAGCCTGCTTCTTCTGCCTGGGCTTGAGGAAGTATTCTCCGGACTCGAGCTGCAGGTCGATCTTGCTCGGCTGCTGGGGTGGTGGGAAGGGCGTGTACGTCTTTGCCTTGATCTTTTGCTTTTTCGTCTCCTTCCTTTCCGCATTTCCATCTTCTGTTGTGGTGGTGGAAGGTTTCTTCTTCTGGTTTTGCTTCTTGAACTTGGGTAGGAAGCGTTCCCAGTTCTCCTCGGCGAGTTTGGGGTCTTTGGCGAGCTCGCGCTTGATCATGAGCTCCTTGATGTGGTAGATGGGGTGGATGTTTTTGAGACAGTCGATGACGATGCGGCGTACCTCTTTGAGGTTCTTGAATTGACCCATGGCGCAGACAGTGTTGCCTTGGACGAGGACGTAGCAGCCGGTGAGGAGTTCGATCGCTTTCAGCGTGCTTCCGTTGGGACCGATGATCCTTTGCCTCCTCTTGACAAACCTCTCTTTGTTCCGGAGCAGATTTCCGATCTTGATGACATCGCATTCGACGCCGTCTTCCAAGATCTTGACCGCTTGTGGGAAGGGCACGGATCGGGAGAGAAGTCGAATCATGTCTCGTGCTTTGAGGATGATGTATGGATCGTACGTCTTTCGAGTGGTCTTGACGGTCATGGATCCTTCGACGAGATCCAGCGTGCAAGAGATGCCGTGCTTTTCAAGTGCAGACGTGACATGACCCCATACTTCTTTGAGATAGCGCTCTCGATATTTGGGGAAGAGCGTGGCGAAGGAAGATTCTTCGAGGAATGGGCCTTTGATTTCGTCAGGGGTGAATTTGGGGACTTCCCAGTGGTTGATGGAGTCGTCATCCCAGGGCTTGTCCTTGCGATGCTTTTTGTTCTTTGATGGTTCAGCTGTGGACGCTGATGCTGAGGGAGTGGTGTCCGCCATCCTGGATGATGTGTGAGTGCGGGGTGGTGGATGCGCGAGATGGTGGAGTGAGCAGAGGGTCCGATCCACTTTGTTCTGCAAGGCGTTGCGGCAAAAGGCAAAAATTCTAGAAATCGTCGTTCGAGCAACGCTCAAATTTTCATCGCCGATTCGCAGCAAAGTGACAATCGGGTTCAGATTGACAGCTCGGATGTCGGCTACGCAACAGCCAAGCAGCAATGCTTCTTGAGCAAACGCTTGGACCCTAACGATGTGCCTGCTGCTCATACCTTCTTGCTTCCAACCAAACTACACCTGACAAGGGCGGGCTCTCAGATCTACCTCTCGAGAAGCGGCACAGCGTTCACCATGGCGTCCACACCATCGCCCTCTAAGCGGCCGCGCATACCCACCTCCTCTGCGGTCGCCTCTGCAACCGCCTCTCCCTTCACCGCTTCGACTTCTCGACCTAGTGGTCCACGCTCCGTCGGGCCCTCGGGCACCTCGGCCAACCCTGCTCCCATCATCGGACTCGGTATGAGCCCCATGGACACCTACTCACCCGCTCCTGGCACCAGCGATGCCTACGGAATCTCCGGATTCACACCCTACAGCACTACCTCCCCCGCCTACGCAGCTGGTGGCTTGGCTTCCGCAGCATCACCCATCAGCGCTGCTCTGGCACACGGATCACGCGTCCTCTCCAACATCCAAGCTTCCTCACCCTTCTTCCACAATAATGGCGCAACACCCATGCTGCCACAACATGGCTATGCTCGTTATCCACCCTTACAGTCCAATCTTGCGATCGCGCAACAAGGTGCATCAACCTCTCAGCCAGGCACGACTAGACCACAACAGACATCCCCGCAACAAGGCTCCCCCGAGTACCTAAGACTGGCACTGCATCACCTGCAGACGACGTTGTTGGCGAAATTGGAGAGCGAAGCAGAGGCGTTCTTCGATGCAGCGGACTCAGCATTAGCCTTGACGGCGGATTCGAGGATTGTGGCGGGCAAAGCGAGAGCGTTTCAAGGAGCGCTGGATGGCGTGCTCGAGTACGTGGAGAAGAACGGACTGGCGAGTATTCCTTTGCTCCCGCTACCCGAGGCTGAATCGAAGAGCGCAGAGACGACAGGCGAAGACGATCCACCAAAACAGTCGTTAGGTTCAGATACAGCTGCCGTCGACACCAACAAGACAACAGATCCAAAAGCAACTGCACCGGCAGAGCCATCAGCAACAAAGACGGAAACATCGACTGCATCTGCCGCTCCGTCATTACAGTCCCACATCGACCGTCTGCAACTCCAAGCAAGACAGCTCTTCGACCAGCGTCAGAGACTCAAGGAATCTGCCTCAATCGTCGGTGCCATTCTCGATTCCTAACCCCCACACCACCCCTTCCCACTCATAGCAATCCCATCACAGCCCTTCCTTCCAGCAAACCTTTGATCTACAACAAATAGGACAATTCTGAGAAACTACAAGTACAAGCTCGTTTCGATCAAATGCAACTTTTTACACCAATTCCCCCACCTAAGCATACTGCTCAAGATCCAGCGTCAAACTGCTACTCGAGTTGACCTCCTGATCCCTATAGATACCCACCAGACTCTGGCTCCTCTCGTACAGCGATGCCTTCAACGAGATGACGATGAACTGGAACTGATCGCTCGCATGCTGCCTGATGTAGTTGCTCACCTTGGCGACGTTTTGCGAGTCCAACGCCGCATCCACTTCGTCCAGCACGAAGAACGGGGCCGGTTGGAAGCTGTGGATCGCAAACAACAGCGCCAGTGCAGCCATGGTCTTTTCACCTCCCGAGAGAGCCGTGATGTCGCGGAACCGCTTCATCGGCGGGACGACCGAATAGGTGATTCCACCGAGATACGGCTCTTCCGTATTCTCGATCGAGAGGTAGGCAGATCCTCCCATGGGTGCCGCTTTGGACCGCGAGAGGTCCTTGTACGTCGGATCAATCTGCTTCGAGATGTGGTTGAATGCAGAGTTGAACAGGTCGCAACGACGTTTTTTGATCCGATTGAACTCGTCTCGTGCCTCCTTGGCTTGTCGTCGCGAACGGTCGAACTCCTTCTCCGTCTCGGCGAGCTTGGCTTCCGTGTCATCGAGGCGCTCGACGGCCTTCATGTTCGGTGACATCTTCTCGATCTCAGCCGTGACGCTCTCGATGCGCGTCTGCAGCTCGTTGCCCATCGAAGCGCCGCCGTCTTCTTTCGCCTCGTCGTCGAGCCCGCTGAAGTCTACCTGGATGCCAAAGTCGGGCGCAGACATGGGCTTCTGCGTATTGTCGTCGTCATCGATGTCCATCGGCTGATCCACATCGATGGTCTCTTCCAGTCCGACTTTGGCCAGCGAACCCTTGAGCAACGGCAATGCAATCTCTTCCAGTCGACATCGGCGGTAGATCGCAGCTCGTTCGGATCCGAGGCGCTCGATCTCGTCGTTGCGAGCGGCGATCTCCTTGGACAGCGAGTCGAGCAGTCGTGCAGCCTTCTGCAAGTCCGTCCGTTTCTCTTCCAGCGTCGCCTTCTTGGCCTGATTCTGCTCTTGCAGCCCTGACAGCTGCGACTGCATTTCGGAAATCTCTTGCACCAAACCGTCGAGCTCCTCCTGCTTGCCCTGCTTGGAAGCCTGCGACGCCTGCAGCCTCTCTTTCTCGCGCGCGATGGCCTTGTTCAAGGTCTCGAGACGCTCTTGGGTATTCGTGATCTGCTGACGTTCGAAGTTGGCTTGGTGATTCAGACGCGCCAACTGCGATTCGAATTGCAGCTTGGCATCGCTTTGACGCTCCATCAGGCGCACCTGGCGCTCTTCGTACTCGCGAATGTTGTCGACGCCGATACGTCGGCAGAATGCACCGAAGATGCGGTCCTCTTCGCGGTTGACAACGGTCTCGAGCGTCGACATCTGACGCTGCACCTTGTCGAGCTCGCTCTTGGCGGTGCGCAGCTTGGGCTGAATCTCCTTGGTCTGCTTGTCGATGTTCTTGAGCTCATCACGGATGCCGGTGAGTCGGGTCTTGACGGCCGCCAGCTCGTCCTGTACCGACTTGAGATCCGCTTCGAGGCGGGTGATGTTGGCGACCAATTCATCGTCGCTGCTAAACGCGCGCTTCTCCTTTTGGAGTTCCTTGAGCTCGTTGAGGCACTTGTCGCGCTGGGTGGCAAGCCCTTGCAGCTCGCGCTCCTCCCATCGCTTGCCTCCAGACGAGCTCGACTGACCACCAGTGATGAGCCCACTCTTGTGGATGACGGTGCCTTCCAACGTGACAGCCTTGGCATCGACCTTCTTGTCGTAGACGACGGATCGAGCAATGTCCATTGTGTCGCAAACCAGTGCATTACCGCAAGCATGGTGGATTGCTCGCTCGATGGACGCGTCAAACTGAATGACATCGACGGCGAGACGAGCGCCTCGAGCGATACTTCTCAGACGATCATTGATCGGCTTAGCCTGGATGCGATCGAGAGGAAGGAAGGTGGCTTGCCCGGCGCGTGTGTTGCGAAGGTACTCGATGCAGTCGATGGCCGTCTTTTCCTGGTCGACGATGATGGCGTCCGTGTTGCGTCCGAGCACAGTGGCGATGGCGGTGTCGTACTTGCGCTGCACCGGCTTGCAGAGGTCGACTACACGACCGCGGACACCGGGGAAGATGCGCTGAAGTTTGGCCATAGTCTCCTTCATGGCCGCCTCTCGCTCCACCTCTGTGAGATCGTTTCGGGCTTGCAAGAGCTTGCTGTAGCACATCTGAAGGGTATCGTTGAGCTTGGTCTCCCGCTGATTGATGGCGGTGAGCTTGGCTTGTGTCTTGTTGAGCTCGTCACGAGCTGCTTGGAGTTCGGCGTCGGTACCACTGCGCTTGGTCTCAAGGGAAGACTGACGCTCCGAGAGCGTCGATTCTTCGTCCTTGAGCTTTTCCTTTTGCTTCGAGAATTGTCCGCTCTTGTCCTCAAAATCTTTGACGGCATCCGTCTTGATTCTCGCTTCACGTTTGAGGCCGTCAAGCTCTTGACGTTCGGCGACAGCTTCGAGGTTGGCTTGGGCTTTGAGGCTGTGGTACTCAGCCAAGTCGGCTTCGTTCAGCGTGAGACCAGCGGATTGAAGGGCACGCTGTTGCTCTTGAGCGGCACGGTCGGCAGCTCGTTGGACGGTCTGGCGGTCGCTCTCAAGCTTGGCGAGGTTGGCTTGCTGCCTTTCGAGATCGCGCTCGACCTGCTCGGTCATTCGGGCACCGTTTTCGAGCTTTTTGCGAGAGATGGCGATCTTCTCTTCGTAGGCATCGAGCGTCGGTCGCAGATCTTCGACATCACGTTGCTTTCGCTTAATCGCCTTTTCGACTTGGAGCATTTCGGTCTGGGTCTGCCCTTGATCTCGTCGCGCCCGCGAAACGGCGTCCTCGGCCCTTTTGTGTTCTGTGCGCAAGGGACGCATGTTCTTGGCTTGTGTCTTGACAAAGTCGGTGTTGAGCTCGATGTCCTCGTTGATGTGGAAAAGTCGCCATAGGACGTGATTGAGGATGTGCTGGACTCGCTCGTGCTGGAGACGCTCGAACTTTTCGGCTTCGCTCTTCTGTTCACGGAACTGCTTGAGCTCCGAGTTGATGCCTCTGCGTTTGTTGAAGTTGAAGGTGGAGTTGTCGGTGGCACGCTCCTGTGCTTCCTTTGCTCGCTCGTACTCGTCCTTGAGCTCGAGGGAGCCACTGATCTGGTCAATGAGTCGGCTGAGCTCCTTGGCACCCTGAGACGCGACGGCTTCTACGTCGCCCTGGAAGACGAGGAAGTTCTTTGCCTTCACGAGGATGTTGAACTGCTCGAGCTTGGTGTTGTACTGTGCATATTGGATGGCTCGACCATTGTACCTGTATTCGCTGCCGCCGGAGATGGTAATTGAACGCTGAAAGCGATGCTCGTAGCCCTTTGCATCTTGGTAGATGGCGGTGACGCTGGCTTTGGCGGCTGTACCTTCGCCCTGATCATCATCGTCTGAAGCCGAGGAGACTTCGTCATCGTCTGCTGCCATCTTGCGACCGCGGAAGATGAGATCCTTGAGCTGACTGGATCGAAGCTGAGCGGAGCGGACGCCAAGCACAAACGAGATGGCGTCCATGAGGTTCGACTTTCCACTCCCATTTGGGCCGATGACAGCAGTGAAGGCATTGAAAGGACCAACGACCTGATGGCCGCGGTATGACTTGAAATTCTCGATCTCGAGACGTTGGAGCGGCATGATGCCTGGTCCGTCTGGGCGAGGGGCTCTTGCCCTCTAGAGATGGGTTGGTGTGGTTATGGCGGTCCCGATCGGCGGCGCGTGCCGATAACAACGAAGTTTTAAGAAAGAAGACGGAGCGTTTACTGCAGTGACGGTGATGGTGACGACAAGCAATGTGATTGCGAGAAGAAAGCGCAGGAGCGGAGGGAGCGGCAAAGGTGTCAATGATCCAATCACGCTGTCTTCGCGCAGAGGCTTTGTTCACAACGGCTGCCGAAGTCCAACACGAGACCAAACCCTGGCAGCCAGCTCTTCGGAAGGCAGGCCGACACACAAAAACTCGAGCTCGAGACGCGACGCTGATCTGCCAGCCCACGCCCGGCTCAGTCTAATCAACGCGTCTGGCCCTCTTTACGCGCTTCCTCGCTTGCGGAGCAGCAGATGCACAGGTCGACACGCGCGCGCTTCACTCCGCCTGGCGAGGCCACTGCGAGCTGCTGCTTTGCTTTTTGCAGCTGAAATTCGACCAGCCTCCACTCGGCACAACCGCACGCACGGCTCATCGAAGGACGCCATAAAAAAGCTCAGCGTCAAGGGTCATTCTTCCGAACGAGCATATTCTGCAGAGGCCAACAAAGGCGAGCTGCTTGTCGCTTCGGAAGGGCCGCCAACCTCATTGGCTTGATTCGCAAGTCCTGTTCTGTTTCTACAGGAGTGCTTTCCGCTTCGTTGCTTGCTTGCAGCGTGAAGCCTCGACGCTCGACGACCATGCAATCGTGAAACGACGACGGTGGATCTCGACAAGCACGGCTTTGCGAACAGCCCGACTTCCCCTCGAAACACAGCATGTCGACGCCAGGCTCGTCACGCAGACCGTCTCTGGCCTCGCCATCGAGACGCCCCAAGCGCAAAGCCGCTGATGATACGGCTGGTCCATCTACCAGCACAGGTCGAAGCAGGGACACATCCAACAGCCCATTCCATCCCGACTCTGCATCGTCCTCCACGACTCCGTCACCTGTCAAAAGATCTTCCGTGTCCTCCGCACCTCGGCGGAACAGCCGGCAAGCTCGCACGTTCCAGATCGCGGACGAATTCGACCAGGATCAAGATGCACCCTACGATGAAGAGCTCGATGCAGACGGTGAGTACGATGAAGAGTACCTCGACCAGGATGCACCGGCTGAAGACGACGAGCAGGCGCTGGACCTGACCGAAGAAGCCGGAGTCGATGCGGATGCAGGTCCGTCCAATTCAGCCAGTAGTACGACGCCGGCGAGGCAATCCGCCAGACCGAAACGAAGCAACGCACCCAATGTCTCCTACTACGCCGTGCAGCCTTTACCGAGCTTGTCAGATGACGAGCAGGACGAGCAAGTCACACCATCAATACGAAAGCGAGCGAGGAAAGCCAGGCTTCCGCCCACATCCGACGTCGAAATCGATGACCAAGACCACAACAATGCGGCGGCTGTGCTGCCGCATTCAAGATCCCGCAGCAGAGGTACGCCTACCACTGCGCGGTCCACTTCCAAGCAGCCTTCGGGCAAAGCGCCAAGGAGGCCGGCGGAAGCAGAGGGCTTCACAAAGTCTGCAGAGCCGCAACTGTCGGAGGAAGCCAAGCAGCAGGCCAAGGCGGAAAAGGAGGCGCAGGATCTGCAATCTCGCTGGACCGAGGAGTACTTTGAGATCATCGAGCAGCTGCCCTTGGAGGTGCATCGTACGTTTGCGCTCATGCGAGAATTGGAGGGGCAGATGCAGGTGCGCGTGGGGACGATGGTTCAAAATATGACTGCTTATCGCGATGTCAGACTGCAGATGCAAAGGCTCATTGATGGCGGCGCAAATACGGCGCTTGGCACGGAAGACAGTGGATCTCATCGAAGTAGCGTGGGTAGGGGAAGCGAAGACGAAGCAGAGAATTTGCTGGGCGGGTCGCAAGACGGGCAGACGAGTCGACCGCAATTAACATCTCGGAGCGCAGGTGACGACGGTCAAGGCGTCGAAGCCATCCCCGTAGAGGACGAAGGTATAACAGATCTGTTGGACAAGGACGCCCGACGGGAACTGCTGCGCTCCATCTCGCTCGCTGCCAACGAGTCGGTGAAAGCGGCCGAAGAGAAAATGGGCCTCGCTGCTACGGCGTACAACTGGATCGATCGTCACATACGTCGGCTCGATGCCGACATCAGCAAGCTCGAGTCTAGCATCCTCCTTGGTCTAAGGACAGGCACGGAGGAGTCGCGGGGCGCGAGGGAAGCGCTCGGACTGCCGGTCGATGGGGAGACCGATGAAGCAGCTGACGCGGAAGTTGACGACGGGCAGGCTCTTGCCGACGGTGTAAGCGCGGAAGCGGAGACTGCAGCTCTGACAAAGGCCGCTGGCGCAGCAAATCGGGCACCGGGCGGGGTTGAAGCGGGCGAAAGGAGGAGCACGCGAACAACGCCGAAGATGGGCGGTCAAGCTCAACTCATGCCATCACCGAGGAGCTCCGAACGCGCAGCGACACGATCACGCTCCCGCTCCGCCTCGACTTCCGCCGTCGCCACTGCAGCCCGTCAGAAAACGACCTCTCCCGTCCCACCCGCCGCCAACCGCATCACGCGCAAACGCAAACCCAAACCGCTCTCCCCGCAAAAAGGCGGCCGGCGATCCATCGTCACCACCACCCCCACCATCATCTCCCCCACCTCGCAAACACCTCGTCCGTCGGCCGCCGTCGTCGGACCTGACACCTCCGAGATGCCGTTCGACCCCACCGAGCCGACGTACTGCTACTGCGATCAGATCTCCTTTGACGAGATGGTGGCGTGCGACAACGACGATTGCAGTCTCGAATGGTTCCACTATTCGTGTGTGGGGTTGACGAGGCCGCCGAAGAAGGAGTGGTACTGTCGATTCTGTGCGCCCGCGGGGTGGACGGGCGAGGGGATGGCTGTGCCGCCCAATGCGAAGCATAAGCCGGTCGGGTTCAAGAAGGGGGTTGGCATCAAGGCGTAACCTCGCCATAACTTGACGTGCATCACGCAATATCAATCACACACATCCTCACGCATCACAATTGTCCCACGACCGCATCGTTCTGTTTACGAATCGTCATTTCTCTAGAGATACATCGCCTCCGGCTTACTCTTCCACATCTCTGCTCTCGCTAGGTGCATCGTCCTCCGGATTCGCAATCCCCGCCATCTCAGCCAACCCGTCGATGATCCTCTCGCAGCTATCCACGTGCCATTCCGCAAGGGTTTTTCTGTTGTTCGGACCGATCATGGTCGTATAGATGCCGCCTCTGGTCAACCTGAGCTTCTTCGGACTTCCCACAGGAGTGTTCGCCTTCAACGGAGTCGGAGGGCTGATGATCAGAGCCTGATCTTTCGGCACCTGTCTCGTCAGATCCTTGGGTGCTTCGAGATGAGCTGAATCCGACGTTGCGGCTTCCATCTCCGGTGTCGAAGGTGACAGGTTGTACAGCGTCCTAAACATGTCTTCGTCAGTCTTGTCGTCTCCAGCGCAGAAGACGAACTCGGCATCCGGATGATCGTAAAGGATCCTCTTGACAATCTCTCCTTTGTTGATTGCCAGAGGCCGAACTTCCAAATTCTTCTTGCCGACGAGAACCTCGATGGCCAACTTGTTCTGAGAAGTGAGGTTCTCGAGATGCGCTTGGCACTCCTTTGCCTGGAAAGAACCAAAGTCCGGGTCGGCACCTCGATAGTGCCATGTGATGGCGCTCTTCTTCTGCTCGATGAAGCTTCCCGCGGTTCGTTCCGTGTAGTACTCGAACACGCTACGGATATCCTTCATCCACGTCATATCGAGGTCTTCCGTCAGGTTGTGATACTCGTCCAGCCCTGGCTCCTTGACAAATCCACCGTGCTCCGCAGAGAAACCGATTCCTCTAAAGTGTCCCAAATGCTTACCCAAGAATCCACCATCGCGACCAGAGATGATGTAAATCACATTCTTCTCGTCGTTCGACAGCACATCCAACGCCTTGAGCAGCCTCTCCGAAGGCAACGCCATCTCAGGCACCTTGACAATTGGCGTCAACGTTCCATCATAGTCCAGCAGCAACAACCGCTTCTTGGCATTCCTATACTTTTCCACCATCTCCTTTCGATCCAACGGCGGCGTCAGGTGCGCCGAGTGTTCGTTGTGCAGACGCGTCAAGAGCTGCTTAACAAGGCCCGCTGCCCACGTGTGCGAGGTGTGCATCACCACCTGATGGTATAGCTGGTCGTGCCTCGCCCGCTTCTCCTCCTCCGTCAGACGAAGCGCGTAGTCGATCGCCTTGGCGACGCCAAAGATGTTCCACGGATTCACCTGGATCGCCGAGCGCATCCGACCTGCTGTGCCGGTGAACTCGGAGAGGATGAGTGGGCTCTTGTTGAACTTGTTCTGGCAGATGATGTACTCCATCGACGTGGTGTTCATGCCGTCGCGAACCGATGTGATGAGCGCAAGGTCGGCGACCGAGAGCAGCGCAAAATACTCGTCCCTGTCGATGATCTGATGGTAGTGGTGCACAGGTGTGAAGCTGAGCGAGCCAAACTCGCCATTGATGTGCGAGACCAGCTCCGAAACCTGCCTCTCGAGCTTGGGCGAGTCGTTGAGCGCAGGCGCCGTCACCTGGATCAACACCACCTTATTGCGCCACTCGGGATACTCTGCCAAAAACTTATGGAAGGCCTGCAGCTTCTGCACCACACCGCGCACTACGTCGAGCTTGTCCCTGCCCACCAAAATCTTCTTGCCCTTGTACATCTCGCGAATGGCCTCGATCTTGGGTAGCACGCCCTCGGACGAGCTGTCCTTGGCGATCTTGACCGAGTCGATGCCGATCGGATTGTAGGTGATGTTGGTAACGTGGCCAGAAGCCGACTCGACCGCATTCGACGAAGCCTCGTAGCCGCACACGCGGATGCAAGATGACAAAAAGTGGCGCGAATAGCTAAAGGCTTGGAAGCATGCCAGATCCGCACCGAGCATTCCCTCGAGTATCTCTTTCCTCTTGGGCAGGCAGCGGAACACCTCGCTACTGGGGAATGGTGCGTGTACGAACAGGCCGATGACGGCGTCGGGCACGAGCTTGCGGAGCATGAGCGGTACGAGCAGAAGGTGGTAGTCGTGGATCCAGACGAGATCGCCAGGCTTGTATTCTTGGGCGACACGCTTGGCAAAGGCCTCGTTGGCGGCATAGTAGGCTTCCCAGCTGTAGTCTTCCCAGGCTCGTCGCTCCGAGTTGACATCTTGCCAGAGCAGGTAGTGGAAAAGAGGCCAGAGGGTAGCCTTGCAGTAGCCCTCGTAGTGTCCGTGAGCGACCTTGTAATCGAGCCAGACAGGCACGTACTTGATCCCGTTCTCGGAATTGCCATCCTCTTTGGCTGCAGCGGAGCGGCTGTTGTGAGCTGTAGTAGCAGCGTCGTTGGCGGCCGCGGCAGCAGCTTTTCCTTGAGCAGTGCCATTCGGACGTGTCGTTGGGTCTCCGGATCCGACGGGCTCGGCCCCGTTCATGACGGGCACTGGAATTTTGCCAACGGGTGGCTGGTTGGATTCCGGGTCGGCTGGTGCACCTGCAACAGGAGCCTCTTGCGGGACCCAAGCACTGGCCTGATCGAGCGAGGCGAGGACCTCTTCGATCTGGCGTCTCTCTACATCGGTAGTCTCGGAAGGATCGGTGCGGTGGTCATCGCGCGCCTGTACGGCGTAGTGGATGTCACCTGGCCACCCGATGAACGTCTGACGATGAGTGCTGCACAGGCTGCGAATGCCGCTATTGAGCGCCGTATGTCCGCGTCGTGCCGTGAGCACCCACTGCGGCTGAGGAGCTGCCGTCGGGGGCGAATCGACGAACGGACTGTTTGCGTCGCTGATACCGCCCCACTGTCTCCAAGGCTCCTGGTTGAAGCTGCTGAAGCTTCCGCGACTTGCTGCAGACCACATGGAGCCTCTGCGTGATCCGACGGGTGTGAAGCGGTCGTCTTCCGAGCACTCGCTGGTGTCGTCGACGACCTCGGTCATCATCCATGCCCTTCGACCGGCACGTCGTCTGGAGCGATCCTGGTTTTCTCGCAGCCGTGCTTCGAAGTCTTGTCCCTCGAGACCGGTCATGCCAAAGCCTGTTGCGAACGAGGATCTGCGCGAAGCGGCACGGAAGCTGTTCTTGCGCGAAGCGATCTCCTGCAAGCCAACTTGACGCTGAAGCTCGCGCTGTGCCTCCATTTCGCGCTTTTCGGCCTGTGCGGCCAGTTTGGCAGCTTTGCGCGCACGAGCGGCAGCTGCCATGGCGGCGACGCTTGCGGTGGCAGCTAGCCTCTCCTCTCGTTGACGCTCGAAGTCGACCTCAGCAAGTGGACGGATCTCGAAGGGAATGTAGTGGCTGACGTGGATGATGCGACCGCTCAAGGGCATCCCGGGATGCTTTGCGTTGAAATCGTCCTCGAGGTGCTTGACCACATTGCGCATATCGTCGAGCGTTTCGAATTCAGCCTTTGCGCCGAGGTCGCCGGTAGCGGCGGTACCAAGACCCATGCCGCCGATGCCATCAGGACGCATCGAGATCTTATTCTGCGGAGCGAAGGAGCCGGGAGAAGCCACCATCTTGCTGCCGTTTGTGAAGGTGGGCAGTTGGCCAGCAGCGTCACCGGATTCGTTGGATGTCGGAGGCGCTAGGGAGGAGGAGAGGGAGGCCGAGATGATGCCCTCCTCGGCCTTTTGGCTATCGCGCTGCAATTGACTGTGGGACGTATGTTCGCCAGGGATCGACTTGGCAGACGAGCTCGCGTCCGTAGCAGGAAGATTGGACGATGGCGCGGCACCTTTGAAATAGTCGCCGCTGGACTGTTGCGATGAGGGTGCGGCAGTGGAGGAGGATAGGAGATCGTTTTCGTTGTCCGTGGTGGAGGAAGAAGCGAAAGGGTGAGACGCTGTCGGATCGAGCGAGGAAGACGGGGAGGCAGATTTGTGGGCGGCGGCCGAGACTTCGAAATTCGGCGGCTCTTCCGAATAGACGCCTGGCGTCAGAGAGCCTCGTTGGTCGACAGCGGCGGAAGTGGACGGCACAGCCAGCGACGATGAGCGCGGACTGCGCTGACTCTGGCTGCCGCCAGCGCCTGTGCTTACGGTCATGGAGCGTTTCCTCTTCACTTTAGAAAACTCGACGTGGCTTGAGTGGCAGTGTTTGCAAGCGATCGAGCTGGCTTTGCGGGAGGTAACTTAGATGCGGTTGTCGATCAAGACCAGCCAGAAGAGGCTTCGACGAAGCTGACTGAGGAGGTGCTGTATCAGCTGTGCAGCAGAAGAAGCAGCCACCACCACAGCAGCGTCGGTAGTATCTGAAAAGAAGACACGCTCGGCAGGCCAAAGTCTGCGACGCTTCCGAACTTTCGGCGAGGCCAAAGGGTGACAGGCCACACAAACCTTGTCCACCGATCCGAAGCGACACAGGAAAAGAGCCGAGAGGCACAGAGAGAGAGAGGAGCCAGAGGCGGGCGTGCGATACCAGGGCGGGCGCCAAGCAAGTCAAGTAACCTTGTCGGTCGAGGTCGCAACGTGTCGAAGAGGTTGCAGCAGCGAGGCTCTATGACTGCAGCACTTGTCAGTCAGCCAGCTAGCCAGCAAGCCACCAACTCACGAATTGTGCGAAGCTTTGCGATCAGTCAGCGCGTGGCACCCTTTCAGGTGGATCCGAAGTGGCCAATCGAACGTTCCAATCAAGGTCGAATCGAGTTGTCGTAGACCTCTTGACAGCAAGGCGAGGGTTGAAGAAGCAAGTCTATGCCAATGTTGGGGCTTCCAGTGCCTTGAAGGTCTTTTGTATGGGTTGTAATGGAGACGACGGACAAGACAAGATAGCCTTTTTGCCCCAATGTCGATCTGCAACTTGTGGACACCGTTACCGAGCGACGTTGCAGCACACAGACACAGCCCGACTGCCCAATGCGAATTTCTTCGAGAATCATCTCACACGCAAATCAGCCAAGAGAGATTATCGCGTGTGTGCGGTCGGTCACCCGTTGAGCAATTTCGGGAGGGCCGAGCGCAGTGGAGGCAGCGAGCCTGGCTCAAGAATCTTTCGGAGGACACCCGCAGCATGCAGCCTGCTTGATTGCTGTTGTTCGACGTTCGGGTGGCAGCCTGGAATCGCACGAAGGACGCCACTTTTTCTTGACACACTCTCTCTTGTCATCTCAAAGCGCCCACCAGCGTTCGATGATCTCGACGTTCGCAAGTCTGAAGCTTGGGCCGTACGTCTGAACACAAGAGGGAATCAGATGGTAACCCCTGGAAGGATCTATCAAAGAAATATCGTCCAGAATGGTCCCGACGACGAGTGCTTCGTTCGCAAGCCTTTGCTTACTGGAACTTTCGGTGGGGTCGTCTTATCGCCGCGACATCTTTCTGCAGTTCCGCGACTTGCACAACGCCTCGTCGGACACGGCTCGAGAAATTTCTGGCAGGCGCAACGAGCTCGAATTGCAGATTCAACTGCGACACCGCCTCTGCAGGACATGCCAGCCGAGAAAAATGACTGAATCGTGCATTTCTTCTGCAGGCCTAAATCGCAACACTAAGCTCGAAGAGAGAGGAGCTCACACAAGCTGACGAGCATCGTTTCAGGCGATGATGACCAAACGTACAGGCTTCTTCGCAGCGATAGTCAGTCCAGAAGAGACGTAGATTGCAAGAGTCGGAACAGCTTCGGGTTCGTTGGAAAGACCAAGGAAGGGCGTTGTAGAACGCAGTTGAAATCGATCGGGCATCGGCAGACGAATGCGTCGATCCTTTTGATGTTTTTTTTGCGAGATCCTATGTCACCTCGATTCGCCTCAACATTGCGTGCAAACGTCGACAAGGCATGCTCACCTTCGCCTTCATTTCGAAGCTATTATTGCAGCCTGTCATCGTCGTTGACAAGATTCTTCCAAACACTAATGCTTCACACGAAACCGATCGGACTCTGATGCGCGAGGGCAATGGAGGTCGTTGTAACGCTATGAAGTCCTTCATCGTGGGGGAGGCGAACCGAAAGCAGGACCCCATCGATTCCCAGGAGCTCGGAAAGAGAACATCGTCTTGCCAGGAGCCGCCTCCGGTCTAGTGATCATTCGCGCCAAGGAAACACATCAAACTAGCGCCGGCGTAAACAGTGCCTGGGAAGAGCGGGCAAACCTTGGACGTGGGAGCGCAGCAGTGGTCGCAACATTGGTGTTGGCTTTCCCGTCCTTCCACGCCTTTGCGCATCTCGTGGGAGCCATGGCCCAGTGTCTCTGGTACCGAGACCAGATTGACCTGCGTGCATTATGCGACCTTCGATGCATGCTGCTATGCCTTACACGATCAACGTACTTGCCTCTCTTGGAATCGTGAATAGTAGGCAGTACGCATGCGAGAACGAGACAGTCCGCGCTAATCCTATGAATCGGATTTCCAGACTCTGCTCGTCGACGCATCGGCTTTCGACAGACTGGGCTAAGTGGAAAGGTGTAACAGCAAGAACCACCAGACAAACAACGACATGAATCCCCGCATCCTCGAACCGAGCTCCCCACATTTGAGCGTCGGAGCTGGAATCTTACCACAGAGTCTGGGAAAATCCGAATTCATGCGTTTGGTGTCGGGGCGTCACCTTCCTTCTCTCGCCTACGCTCATCAGGGTCGCCTGCTCGCGTTCGTAAGCCGCATCGTCCTCCTCCGTCGGCAGGAAAAGCTCTCGGATCATCGAGTTGAAGGAATCTTTCACGTCCGGGTGCGACCGTCTTGTACGCCTTGGAGCTGGAGCTGGCTGGGAGAAATACCCTCTATTTCGATATCCGAGGTCGATCCGTCGACCCTTGCTCCCTGCTTGCGCACCACATCACATTTCATGCATGGCTTTGAATCGTGTTTTGGTCTCAATATACGACACTACTAGCTTAGCTTTCCCGAAAGCGGTCCAGGCCAGAAGCGCGAAATCGATTTCGGCTTGACATGAGGGCTACTTGCCGATCGGCCAAGGGGACCATCGGAAACGTGCGTGTGTCTCATGCGCCTCGATCGACCCTAAACACCGTCCGAAGTGAGCTTTCCCGAGTCCGCCCATCGTCACATCTCCATAGTCTTTCTTACTGTCAGTGCGCTCAATGCGTTTCGAAACTTCGAAACTGCATGTGCGGATGCAGATTCCCGCAGCAGCTGCACGGACGTCTCGTCACACGTTGCTACCGTGGGTAATCATTCACTTCAATCGCATCCTTCGCTCATCGCAAACATTGAAATCGTACATCAATTGCGTTCCCGTTCTGCGAACCGAATTCAGGCAGATGAACGTGACAGAACCGTTGCCCCGGTTCCTCATGAACCCATCAAGGTCTGGTGATGGCCCTTGTCTGTGATCAATTTTACATCGCAACAAAACTCCGACACATTAGTGCCTTTCTTTGGTCTTCCGTCTACGACGCTTCCAGACCTGCCGAACCGCACTAGTGCAGCCTCTTTCATCGAGTCGATCCGACTAAGTCGGTGCGTCTTCTTCACATACGGTACCACTGTTCAGCTCTTGATCTACAGCCTGCATCGATTTCATTCTAGTAAGGCTGCCGAAGCACGTTCCAGAGCCTGACGGCCGATGATGCAGAACAGGCACCGGATCGTGAAACGCCGTTAGAGGGGTCGACCGCATGACCTTGCATGTCCTGTTTATTGCTTGCCGCTCACATCTCTTTGTACGAAGGTATGCAGACGACCTACCTTAGACCTCCGTACACGCATCGCGGCGTAACCTGGATCAGCTCCGACGCCAGAAGCCACTCAGAAACTCGTTAGGGTTTTGCCGGCGAGTCTAACCAACCAAAGAAGCGGGTTCCTGCAAAAGCGCATCGCATCGTAAACAGTGTGCTGTATATATAAAGGGCAGCGGGTCTTGATGGGCTTCATTGCTATCTTGATCCGTCAAAGTTCTTCTTTCCACTTCACTACGCCCTTCATCTCCTCTCCCACGTTTGACTGACCGGAACCGGCATTCGCCGATTTCGGCGCTGTGTGACACCTACTACCGGCCACCCTTCTTCCGGACCTCTACTTCCACTCTTGACTATAAAAGGACGCCTAGGTTCTCCTTTTTCAGCTCCGCCTCCGTCTCCCTTAGACGCTTGTCAAAGGATTGAACGCTCACCATGACTCGCTCACTCATCAGGCTGGCCGTCGTCGCCGGTCTTTTCGCCTCCTTCGGTGCAGTCACTGCTCATCCTGTCGAGGAGCCTCTGGAGCGAAGGCAAACCATCGACACGTACGACTACATCGTAGTCGGAGGCGGTACCAGTGGTATGGCCCTAGCCGGGCGTCTATCTGAAAACCAAGGCGTCACAGTCGCAGTGCTCGAAGCCGGTACCGACTACCGTCTCAACCCCGCCAATCTCGTCGACACCCCTGGCATGGACACCTTTGGTGTTGGAGCTGATCCAACTGACTCCATTACGAATGGCCTGTACGATTGGTTCTTCGTGACCGAGGGAGAACCGGGCTACGACAACCGCAAAGTGCACTACGCTCGTGGCAAGTGCATCGGAGGATCGTCGGCAAGGAACTTCATGCTGTACCACCGACCTCCTCGCAACGCCCAGCAGACGTGGGTCGATCTGACCGGTGATAGTCAGTGGTCGTTCGACCGCGTCCTGCCCTACTACCAGAAGTCGCTGACAGCGTTTGGTCCCCGACACGAGTTCAGGAAGGACAACCCTCCTGCACAGTACAACCCCGCTGCTTTCCCTGGCACCGGCCCTGTCAGCGTGGGTTTCCCCAACTACGCCCAGCCGTTCTCGGGTCCGCTGCTCAACAGTCTCAACGAAGTAGGCGTCCCCACCTCGACGGACATGAGCTCCGGAAACATCTTGGGTGCTCAGTATTCGACCATCACCATCGAAGCGTCCAACGGAAAGAGGGCTACTTCGCGCTCATTCTACCAACAGGCTCTGGATGATAAGCGGACCAACCTCAACGTCATCTTCGAAGCGCTCGCAAAGAAGGTGGTGTTTGACACTACGGCTAGTAGACCGAAGGCTGTGGCTGTTGAATACACGCTACCGCTTGGGATCAAGAAGACAATCAAGGCAAGGAAGGAGATCATCATCAGTGCAGGTGCTTTCCAGTCTCCTCAGCTGCTCATGGTTTCCGGTATCGGTCCAGCGGATCAGCTCAAGGCGCAGAACATTCCCGTTTTGGTGCAGAACGAGAATGTCGGACAGCACATGCAGGACCACGTGTTCTTCGGACCCACATACTCTGTCAACGTCGACACGCCGACCAAGGAGGCGAACGATCCTGTCTTCCTGGCTGCGTCCCTCGCTGCGTTCCAGATCAACCAGGGCATCTTTACGAACAACGTGGCTGACCTGATCGGGTTCGAGAAGTGGAACTCGACCTTCCTGGACTCGATCCAGGCGAGCCAGGTGAAGAGCAACCCTTCGGACTGGCCCGAGATCGAGTTCCTCTCCGGACCCGGATTCATCGGCGACTTCTCCAACCTCGTCACCAACAACATCGTGCAAGGCCTCACTCTTCAGCAATTCGCTTCTCTGCTCGTCGCCATCGTCGCACCGCTTTCCGAAGGATCCGTGACGCTCAAGAGTGCCGACACGAGCGATCTCCCCGCGATCCGACCCAACTGGCTCTCTTCGCCCGTCGATCAGAAAGTCGCCATCGCTGCCTTCAAACGTGCTCGCCAAGTGTTCGCCGCCAACGCCATGAAGAGCACGCGAACCAAGGCCACCATCGAGGACTTCCCCGGATTCGACGTCGCCACCGACGACCAGATCCTGGCTAGCATCAGGAAGAACCTGATGACCGTGTGGCACGCCGCTTCCACCTGCAGGATGGCCAAGAGTCCGCAGACTGGTGTGCTGGACTCCAACTTCCGCGTGTTCGGCGTGGACGCGTTGAGGGTCGTCGACGCATCGTCCTTCCCGAGGTTGCTGCCCGGTCATCCGCAGGCTGTTTGCTACATGATCGCTGAGAGGGCTGCGGATCTTATTGCCGCTGCTAACAAGTAGGGCTGTTCGACGATGAATCGATTGGTTGCTTCTTTCTCTAGTTGAAGTCGTAGTTAGATGATGACATTTTTATAGTGATTCACGACTCATTCACGTTCTCAATGATATTCTAGTCCAATACGTGTCTGGTGGTGTCTGTGATTGAGCATGGCTGTCAAGGGCTCACACGTCCAAGTCTGCAAAACGCCTGTCGAATTGCATTTTTTTCAGACGAGCATTTTAGGGTTCCACTAATTATTCGTAGTTTTCGATTTTTGGCCGCTCCGAATATTGGGAATTTCGGCAACCGGAGCCAGCAGATCTTCCCAAGATGGTCTGAGCGTGTGTTGGTGTGTTGCTCTCTCGAACCATCAGCATCACCACCACACTGACATCGTCATCCGCTACTCGCGGCATCGCACAAACACATCTTCTGAGGGGAGAAACAGTGATGACGATGCAGACAGCGCAGCCTGGCAGTCGTTCCGCGTCCGGCTCGCTGCGAGATCCAGACCCGGACCCACCCAGCACCTCCTCGGCCAACCCCATGCCCGCAGACCTTTCCCTTTTCCTACAGCCGTCCTTCGACGCCGCAACTTACGTCGCTTCCCTGCTCAACCATGTCGACCCTTCCTACGCCTCCACCAGCAATACCGTTCCATCAGCATCGCCAACAGCACCGTCAGCTTCGGCAAAACATCCTCCCCTGCTTACCCCCCCACCACCGACCTCCCCCACAACAGCACGCAACCCCAGCATCTCCCTATCCCCCACCTCACCCATAGCCACGAGCTCGAGAAAACATGAACAGGCGCAGGAAGACCTCGATCTCTCGCTCGCCATCTCACGCCTCAACCTGGCGATCGAAGAGCTAGACCGCTCGATCGAGAGCGAGGTGACTGCGAACGCGCCGGAGCTCTTGAAGCGCACGGGGCGGCTGGGTGCGATGCAGGAAGGGGTGGGGGAGACGAGGAGCGGGGTGGAGAGTTTGGCGGAGGAGGTGGAGAGGTTGAGGGGGAAGGTGAGGGAGCCGTTTCGGAGGGTGGTGGAGTTGCAGGGGGAGTTGAGGGTGGTGGAGGGGGCGGGGGAGCTGGTGGGGAGGACGA